GGGGGGGGGGTACAATGATCATAATCCCTGAAGTCCCCTCTTTACTAAAAAGGGGATGTTTGCTCCCAGTTTCCTGTTACTCAGACCTGAAATCCCATCCTCTTCTGGGAATGGGATGTTGCGGGGACACGTAGGATTGCAAAAGTGTTTCCTCAGCACCTTCCTGTCTTGCTCAGGCCCCATCTGCTTCCTCCAAGCCCTCCCAAACAGCAGGAGTATGGTGAGGGAGCAGCCCAGGGCGGAAGGGGTGGGTCAGGAGGCCCAGAATAACCTGCAGAATCCCGGGTCGGGAACCAGACAGTGCCTCCACCCACCCTAGGAGGGCTGGCCAGGAAATGGCCCCCCTCCCTTTCTCTCCACACCTTTCCCTTCAAATATTCAGGTCCACAGGCTGAGCCTTGCATGTCTGTTGAGTGATGGGGTGCTGGGCAGGGGAGGGCTGTGGAAAAGGTGGGTAAGGGGAGCATGTGGATCCATCACCAGTTTAATTAAGGCCTCGGTTTAATTCTTAACCAAACTGCAGCACCTCCAGCAACCACTAAACCCTGCTGTGATCCTGGGCCAGAGCAGAAAAGCACCACCCCAGACATGAAGGCTACTTCTTGAGATCCTGACTGAGCCCTGAGCTACTGCATCTGCCTCTAGCTTGTTGGAATTGCCAGGGCCACAGCACAAGGCAACACAACTGCAGTCTGTGGGATGTGTGATTCAAAGGAACCCCTGGTGTTCCTGCTTGTCACAGTTTAACTTCACCCGCAAAATGCAATTGCACACACAAACTAACGAACAAATCGAGGACAGCAATTAAAAATTCCAGAGCTCTGACTCAGTCCAGCCACTGGAAAGATCTGAGGTGTGCTAGGAGTCACTGTGGGAGATGGGAAGGTGGCATCTCCTGCTTACTTCTGGCTGCTCTATTAATGTAGGAGTTTGGGATATCATCCTTCTTGGTTAGAAGGTTTGAGAACTAACAGGCCTGTTTAGCTGCTCGTCTCAGCAGGGTGAGCGGGCAGAGCTTAAAAGGAAGGAACGCAACTGTGAAGGGCATATTCCATGCACAGCCCATGCGTGCTGCCCAATATGGCAGGATAATGAGATTAATCTGTCCTCCAACTAGTTTGGAGACGTGTCCAAATCCTTTCCTGCCTCCAAATCAAAGCTGCTCACTACACTGTGCTACTAGGCTGGGCTCAGGGGGTGGCCATTTTAATGTAACCTCCCACCCCCTCTACAATAGGTAGTAACTCTGCAGCAGCAGTGCGGAGGTGAGCCCTGCTCAGCCTGCCCCCAGGCTGTGCAGCTGGGAGCCAGGCTCAGATGTTTAATATTTAAACCAAGCAGTCCAGCTTTTAAACTCAAGGGTTCCCTTGTTATGACTGTCGCAGCAATGGCTCCATGTGCAAATCCCTTTATGGACCCTTGCACCAAGCTTCCTGACTTGCCTCTCCAGGATGCTGGACTAGGTGCACAAATAGTGAGATGCACAGGTGTATACACCCGCCAGAGGCTGGGAAGGACAGGTGAGGAGTCTGTCCTGGCCCTTTTCCCTATGGGTGGCTTTGGCTGTGTGTGAAAGGGACACAGGCACTGCGAGGGGCTAAGGGAGATTTCCAACATCCAGAGAGGCCAGAGTGGTGCAGGGGCCTGTACAGCCTCCCTGGGAAGGTCCCAACATGGGGAAGAGAAGGGGCTGGTACACAGGCTCAGGAGGCTGAAATGATTCTGGATTGCAATGTAGCTGTAAATGTGAGCATCCCCTGGGCCTATTGCTTTACCTCCTAGAGCAGCCTGGAATCCAGGGTGGGCAGGGGCATCATAAAGCCACCTTTCCTCCCCTCCCTCTTTCAGGCCGTGCCCTTGGGCTGCATTCTCCAGGCTCAGTGCTTCTTATCATCCCAGTGCCACAAACTGACCTGAGCAATACACGTCCTGGCATCCTGACCTGCCAATACTTCACCTCAGGCATGTGAGCAGTGCCACTGATTTCCCTAGATTAGTCATGTGCTTAAAACCTCTAAGAGTCTTGAAATCAATGGCGGTGCTTCCTTATAGGCCAGTGGCACATTCAGCTGTCAGGAGCAGACAAACAGGACACCTGGAGGTAGAGGGAGCAGGAAAGGACACAGATCTTTTCTATTCATTGCCCAGACCTTGCCCTTACTGACACTAGTATAAAGAAGTAGTTGGCTCAAGACCAGTGGATTTGGGCTGGTACAAAATGGGTATATGTGGTAGGGCAGTCAGCCATTGGCTTCTAGGTTTTTGATGGTGCAGATTTTTCAAGACTTCCATTTTCAAAGCACGGTAAGCGGGTTTGTGCTGCCCTCAGTGTCTGCTTCGACTTCCTGTTGGTTTTTGAAGAAGACTGACGGTCCGCAGTCTAGACAATGATCTGTATGCTAATCTGTTCCTCAACCCTGTCAGCCTAAAAATGCAGGTCTGTTCTGTATTTATGGGAACTAGAATGATTTGGGGGCTCCCAAGGGCTCCCAGAACATAAATAACAATGACTAGGTAATCAGTGCTCCTTAACAGGAGGCAGCTGAGGATTGTGACCTTGATTTACAGCAGGGGAAACAGAGGCACAGGGAGAAAATGATTTGCTGGAGGCACTCAGTGAATCAATGGAAGAGCCAGGTGGATGGTGCAAGAACTCCTCCTCCCAGTTGTGGGGTCATGCACTGGACACCCTGCCTGACAGTGCTCGTGGGATAAGTGGAGGATCAGGCACTAGGCTACTCTGCAAGGGGGCAACAGATGGCATGTCAGGAATCATTGCAACTCATTTGAGCCTGCTCTGGTGTCTGTGCCCTATGTGTCTGGGCTGGACGTGGAGTCTAATGGAGAACCTTGCCTTGCAGGGAGCAGCACCCACCTCATCTGTGTCATTAATGCCTACATCCAGACGGCCACAAAGTCTCTATTTCACTCAAGAAACTTCAGAGTGTGAAAAAGTGAGACTGGAACCTGGGAGACAGCCCAGCGGTGAGATCTCTCAGACCGCAGAGGTACCTCTTATGAGTAGGTGATCCCATGATCACTAGTAGATGCACACTGGGGACAAATCCTGTACTGACCTCTAGGAGCTAAAATGGGCCTGACAGGTAGAACCCAATGTCCATTGTCCTTAGAGGGTTTCCACTCACCCAGCAGCAGGGCCCTGGCATGGTGCCCGGTGATTAGTATCATCCACCAGATGGTTATGATGATGTAGAGCAAGTCTCTGCTGATTTCCCTGGGTAAATGGAGTGCGGGGGAGTAACTACCCATGAATAATGCCCCTGGAAGAAGAGCTGCTACAGCCATGGCTCCCAAACCAGAGGCTACCAGAGCAGGCTACCTCCTCGTAGTGGCAATTTTCCAGACAATGGTGGGGGCGAGGACTGACTTTTGCTGGTACTGTAGAGAGTCTACAAATCCACTCAGGCTCTCCCCAGCACCAGCTGTGAGCTGGTGGATGTGTCCAAAGGTG